ATTGCAGCTAAGGGCTGAATGGTTTGAAAAAATGAAGATAATTCATTAGAATTACTGAACAATACACCACCTATATGCTAAATTCAATGTAATAATTAAAAGTGTATGGACTTAAAGTATATGCATGTCTCTGCCTATACCGCCCGGATAATTAAATGTGAATGTTTGCAGAGTGATATCGCAGCCTTTTTCACATTGCCATCTTTTTTTGTTGCATACGATTTTTGCGAACCGCACTTGAAATTTCGCATTGAAAACATTTGCAATGCTTTAATAAAGGCCATGTCCGCCATTCAGCTGCGAAAGGTCCCATTGAACATGACAAACAAAAATGATAGCATAACCGCAGGCGGGCATTGTGGCAAGTTGCAAGTTGCAAGCGCAGCAGAAAGTGCGAGATAATCTGCCAGCTAATACAATGGAATGGAATGTGCGGAGCGTTTTGGTCGTGCACTCGCATGCCCATTATATTCAATTACAGGACAATAACGTGGCTTATGGTCCAGTTCCGTTCAGTTGGGCATCGATGGGGGTGGGATGTTTTCAAATTGAAAATAAAAATAAAGCGCTGCTAGATAGAAAAAAATAAATAAAGACGAGGGAAAAACTTGAACTAAACTGTGTTTAAAGCTCGTCCCACGTACGTGCACAAGTGCGAGGATCTAGCGGCGCCAAATTATGATTAGCTTTTGGTAAAGTTTTGCAGAGGCAGCGAAGCGGCCACTTAACAACTGCCATTGCATACTTTGAGGCGTAAGCCAGCGTTGTCAGTGGCGCGTGCAGTGCGCTGCAAATTTTGCAACGTTTTAATTTCACTTTTGATTGTTCTGCCAAATGCTTAGAGCAGCGCTTTCTCTAATAGTTTCATAATGCGCGCGAAATCATGCTAAGCTTCTTTTTGCTGCATTACCGTGTCTGTCAGCTGCTATTCTACACACACACAAAAACACCACACCACACATACACAGTACCACACACACACACACACACAAACACACTCTGAGCAATCAGTTTACTTAATTTTATTTGGCATTTAAGTCAACAATTTGCATATATTCGGCAAATGCGCCCAGAAGGATGCCTTAAAGTTTATTTCTTCGTGCTCTGAGCAACGGAAATTTTCAGCACAAAAAGACAATTTGTCACAATTATTACACACAAAATGACAGGCAAATGAAAACCAAGCAGCTGGAAAACAAGTCAAGGCAAATTGAGGCAGTCGAGCATTCTGATGGTACGAATTACGAATTAGAGATGGCCAAGCACTAAGACAGCATGTTGCCGAAGACAAGCAAAGTACGAATACTCCAAACTGATCATGAAACAATTTTCTTTATTGTTTGGAAAAGATCCGAAACTGACAGTACTCACATTTTAAAGCAGAGTCCAAAACACCCCATCGAGCATTGTTACACTCTACTTTTTTTTTATATCACTTCCCAGCGACTTGTTTAAGATAGCACTAAACAGCAGACTTGTGTCAGTCCATAGTTAAGTTTATATGTACTATCTGGGTAGGAAAATGCATTTGCGAAAAGGATCAGATAAGAGAAACAGTGTTCATTAAAATATTTAATAGTGGACGAAAGAAACTTATTTTCCATTCTGAATCCTGCTTAAAAAAAGAGGATGAAAAGTTATAGAATAGAATGGAACACAGATGCTGCTAGAAAGCTAAATAGTATTTAAACTTTTTACGCGCCAACATTTTATCTAACCAATATAAGAATTATAATATAAGATATATTGAAGTGAAAGAGCTTATGATTGAAATGAAATTCTCAATTGAAAACTGATCTGATTCTGAATTCCAGAAGACTTTAAATTTAACAGATGTTATTATTTATTTATTTATTTAAAAGCCTTATCCTAGCGTTACAAGTACTGGATTACTTTTAAATTATTACGCTAGTCATTACAAATTTCATTATATTGAGCTTATTATTAGGTTATTTTCTTATTATTAGTTTTATTTTCAACATTCAAAATTTTAATAATCTTTTTAAATATTATATATATTTTTAGGTTTGTTTTACCAGTTTTTTACTTAATCTATTTTGCCTACTCAGCTACTAAGCTAAGCTAGATAATGTTTTCTAAGTGTCCTTGAATCTTAACTCTAAAGTGCGTTTTGCTGCTAATTGTTTTTAATTGATGCGATAACTCATTCCACATTTATTAAAATTACTTTCCAAACCTTACTCTAATCAAATCGTTGACGCTCACGATCGTGCCGGTTGCGCATCTTTAGAAAAGGGACTGAGAAGTACTGAGGAGAACTGTGTAGCAATGACAAGTTAAAACATATTTTGCCTAACAATGTCGTCGTATTGTGGCTGCACGATGATGCAGCAAACATATTCTGGCGTCCAGCAGCCGGTAAACTTGAAAATGCCTCCCTCTGGCCAGGTCCTGTGATATTTTCGACATGTTGTCATATTTTTTGGTTAATTTACAAACGAAAAATGCGAATCATCGATGCTGGCTGCCGCTTGCTGCCTGTAATGGCATATTACCTGCACCAGCAGCCTTGCTGGCCGAACCCTTTTCGCAAAGCTCTCCTTGGTACGTGTAACTGGCTGGACTTGTTCCTGTTCGCCTGCTGTTGCTGACAAATGTTTGACAAATTCTGCAGTCGTTGCTCATACGCCTGACGTTATGCAATATTTCATGACTCGGTATTCGAGCTTAATTTATACGCAGCTCGTGTTGTTTGGACTGTCGTTTGTTTTCCTGCTTATTTCAATTTTAGATTTTGTGGCTCTCTTGCTCGCGTTGGTATTTCAAAATGAGTCGTCCTCTGCACTACAACTAGTTTGATTGATCCCTCTGTTGGTTATTGACGTTTTCAGAGCGAATAGTAAAAGAAATTCAAAATCGTCCCGCACAGGGTATACGTAATATTACGTATACGCAACATAGTAAACACATTTTTGTACCCAACATTTAAAATTCACTCTTTATGGTGACATGTTGGCCCATTCTCTATGTTTGTACACATTTGTGGGCATGGAGTTTCAATGTTATGCTTTGAAAATGGAAAAGATAAGTTCCACAGTGATGGCATGACTTTGTGTAATTAAAATTGTGCTCTTACTTGTATGATGCAAAAGGCAGTTTCTGATGACTTATTGAGAGAACAAACCAAGTGCGTAGCACTTCTAACCTAGCCAATTGGGGACTCTAGCTATCAGATTCGTACAGGCAGGGCGGACAGACTAGAATGTCTGTTCTTGTTATGCTGGCTTTTACAAGAACTGAACGATTTCAAACTACGCTTTTACCCTTCGAGAGTAAACAAGTAATAGTGCAGGGTGCGAGGAACAACTAAGATACGGTTCAATGAAAACTGCATAAAGAAGAGTACAGATCTTGCTAATTTTTTTTTTGTGTATCAGCAAAGTGTTTTTATTTAAATCTGTTGGCTATTGAGAGAACCAGTTTGTATTGTTCTCATCGTTCTAAGACTACTATATACATAATACATGTTTAGTTTATTCAAATTATAAGGTAAGTTTACTCGTACAAAAAATTTCAACAAATCAGAAACTACAAGCATTTTATAGCAATAAACATTTGGTTTTTCCACTTTCCTTAAGGCAATATAAAAAGCAATCCAAAATAGTTTCGGATTTCATTTTATTGAAAACCTTCATTGTTATTGTCCTTTATTACTTTTTTATACAAGTATATTGAACTTTGGCCATGTAATAAATCAATTAACTATTACAAACTTACCAATTGTTCAAAATATTAACACCAACAATTAAAAATCGTATACTAATAAGACAGCTGGCTGCCTTCTTTTTAGCCGTGTTAGCCGGGCGTTCATTAGGTAGAGGCCTGGCCAGCCTAATGCGGTTGTTGTAGCGGCTAGTATGGCGGTTGATTTCAGCTTCAGCGGTTTTCAGATTTAGATCATGGTGCAGTAATAGACTAATGCCTAATCTTGAGCGTCTGGACCCGTCTACTTTGCGACGCTGAAGCCAATCCCCAAATCTGAATGCCATAAGTCCATGTCGGATGATGATGATATCAGGCTTAAAGGTAATCCTGCGGTTTAATAAAACGGCAAAGTATAAGCTTCCTGGCTTCAAGGGCTTGCAACAATACTTCGTCATCGAGCCAAACCGCAGGGACATCGCCTTTTTTTTTAATGTAAAACACACATTAATGCATTTGGCCGGATTTAGTCATAAGTTCCACCTGCAAGCCCAGCTCTCAAGCAGGTGGAAGTGTTCCTTCAGCCCATCCGCTGCGTACTTTCTTTTATAAGATATTTATTTGTAGTATTATTCATGTTTTTATAGAAAGTTTTTGCTTTTCATTGAACTTCTTTTGAAATTGTTGTATGCGCGCTAGACGCGATTTACGAAACCAAGCTTGTAGAAAACTCAACTCACCAAAATGTGCATATTTGTGAAAGCTGGAAATTAATTGCTTACATTTTTTCAAATACAACAACTGTATTGATTAGTTGTTGCCTATTAATCCCTGTCCTCGAAAGAACCAAACGATATTTGCGATATTTGAACAATAGATGAATTATATTTATAAAAATAATTGATGTTCTAAAAGTTATAGAAATAATATATATAGTAATTGCAGAATATCAAGAGTTAGTTTATATAAAATATTAATTTTGGGGATTAATGAAAAAGAAATTTCTTTACTAAATTTTCTATAAGGTGTGAATTCGATGTATTTTAGCTTTTGTCGGGAAAGCTTTCGAAGCGGCTGATAAGAGCTCGAAGCTTTTTGGACGAAACACAAAGCCATCAAAGCCGGTTTGACAGTTGCGCATGCGTCGTCGCCAGCTCGCCGAGCAGTTGCATTTTGCATAAAATGTTTAACACTATTTGCCATCGCTTCAACAAGCAATAAGAAAAACAGCAAAAACCTGGTCTGAGCGGCGTATTTAAAACTCTTTTCAGCCATGGCAGCTCAACAGTTGGGATCGAGACGGCGACGCGTGCGCACTGCAAATTGAAACGGTACGATCATCAAATGGCATAAAAAAAGAGTGCAACCAGTTGAGGAAGTGGCTGAAAAAAGTGGAAACATTAACATTTATATATGTACTGGACTTTACATTAAAACAAAAAGGGTGTGACTTCAAAGAATTACAAAATAATGTGCAGTCTGTTGTGTGGATCTCTTGGCTGACAATTTTTATACCCTGTACCCGTAGGGTAAAAAGGGTATATTAGGTTTGTGCAAAGTATGTAACATACAGAAGGAAGCATCTCCGACCCCATAAAGTATATATATTCTTGATCAGCATGACGAGAGAAATCGATCTAGACATGTCCGTCCGTCTGTCCGTCCGTCTGTCCGTCTGTCCGTCTGTCCGTCCGTCTGGATGAACGCGAGGATCTCAGAAACTATAAAAGCTAGAATAACCAAAGTTGGCATCCAGATTCTCCTAGGTCCGAGTAAGGACGAGTTTATGTTTTTTTTTTTAATTTTCCCCCCCTTCCCCCGCTACAGAATTTCGTCAATAGCGTCCACATTTCAAATGCTACCTAAACCAAATTTTGCACACATAATTAATATATAATTGTCTACTGTTGTATGAAATTTTATTCAATTCGGTCAATTCTAAGAAAAGTTATTAGCAAAACAAATTCTCCCCAGTGCAACCCCCCCAAACTGCAGCAACAAGTTCGCTCTTCTTCTTCCTCTTTTTGCTGCTGCTATGGGCGCATATAACTCAGTGACGGAAGTTTACCTGGGTACAGGGTATTACACTGTCGGGCTTGCTCGACTGTAGCGTTCTCTCTTGTTTGTTAATTAAAACGATGTGTTTTGCAATTATATACATATATCGTGTTTCTTTTATGCGCAGGTTTTAGCTCTCAACAAAATGGCGTATTTACAAATTTGCATAGTGGCTTTAGTATTGGGTGAGTTGGAAAAGCAGTGAAGTGGAATTTGTGTAAATAATTTTGTATTAATATAGGCTTTTTATACAATTATTATTAAGAGTATTCATTGCTTGAGAGAGGGAGTTACACATTAAGGTTAAGTTTAATTGCTTAATTTTTTGTGAACAAAAAGAGATTACAAATGAACACCTGATTTCGTGAATGGCATCAGCAACTAATTCTTTAAAACCTTTAGCATTTTGAAATTACAACTTTGTACTTAAGTTTAGTTTTAGGCTGGTGTATCAAGGCCATTATTAATTGGAATATATGTACATACAAATACTTATATACGAGTATATAGTTTGATTTTATTATAGATTAGCAGTGAATATATATTCCATGTAATCAGAGATAGAGTTGGTGTACGAAATAGTTAAGAGTTTAATAGTCTAAGAAGAATAAGGCGTGGCAGACCTCATGTTATAAACACATAATCAAAAGCTCAGATGAATTCCATCAATATAGTTCTTCTTCTCTGTCCGTCCGTATAAATATTAATCTATAAACATATTCGTATATATAGGCGACTAGTAATATTTATATATCCACATTTTAATAACAATCCTATTTCGTTGCTTATGTTTTCATATTTTACCCCAGAAGCTGGAAAATGCAAAAATTAAAAATAATTTTAAATTTTCGCTGACACAATTAAATTGCGAATTATTATGTCTGACATTATGCTAACAATGCATCTGTATTGTTGTTTTTGTTTTTGTTTTGGTGTTATGCATAAATATGTTGTCGCATAATTTTGTTCATTCGGTCCGAGTGTGAAACATGTTTTCGCCCAAAATACATATGTAAATATATTTTTGTGCATAGTGCACCACAGTATGTAACAATTGCCATTGCTTTTATTGTTATTACTATTATTGTTTGCGCGCTCTTTCGGATAGAATGCAATTTTTGGAACGTACTCGCACTTGCATTTTGTTGGGTTCGGTCGACATTTTTGGCATTCAAACTTAATATTGTTAATTTGGTTGAATAAATTAAAATTGATATTCAGTGGCTGGCAGGGCTGGCTGTTAAATAACAACGCCGGAATCAATTAGCAATTTGTGGCAATTGTGTAATATGCTGGGCGAATATTTTTAATTATTTAGCTAATTTAATATAATAAATATGCAAATAAGCTGTTGAAAATTGCATTTGCAGTTTTTTCATAAACAAGATGAGCCGCCGTCAAATTAAGGCAATATTGATTTGTGGGTCACTTTCTAGTATGGAGTATATATAATTTCCCCATTTTAGGGGTCTAAACTGAAATATTTTAGTATAAAAAATAGGTAAAAAATTGTTGAATTAAAACAGGGTTAGAAAAATAAGCTAATGTAAAATAAAAAATTATCATTAGTTTTAGGCAATGAAAACTTTCCAAAATGTACCTATTTTAGGGTGAATTTTCACAATACATTTTACAACAAAAGGAAACTTGAACACAATCTTTTCAGTCATACTAGGATACAAATAAAGGCCGATTAATATACATATACAAAATTTACCTCGAAATTAACTGCCTATGAATAAGAAAAGACGTCAGCTTTAAGTTTTAATAGATTTTTGAGACGAATTGTTACATATTGTAAATGACACTCTATTTTTAAGCAGCTTAGTATATGCTATCAAAGTATTTGACGTTTTCGTTTCTTCTTTTTAACAATAGACTATGAATTCAATTGGTCGTGTGTATGTGTGTCACGTTTTTGGTCTAGACACCTACACCTTAATGCCCACGCCCTCGTCGCCGACTAATCTGTCTAACAGTTCAATGGATAACATGAAAAAGTGTTTTGCTCTACTTTTTGTATGTCTCCTACATGTTTATTTTTAATCCATTTGGTGTTCATTGAACTTAACCCCCTGGCTCTGCACATAACAATGCCGTTACTTAAAGATGGCAGCCTTGATGCTGCTAAAATGGATAGGCAGTAAGGTTTTTCTATTTCTTTTTTTTCACCACATTGCCGCACTCAATTAATCGAGTCTAACCGGACTGGAGACTCGCCAGGTCTGGTCTGTTCGTCTACGACAAACTTGTGGACAAACTGTCAGTGTCGCAGTGAGAGTATTGGGCGAGTGAGAGAATTCCAGTTCTGCACTTCATGACTCTGTGCTTGACACATGCTCAGCATTATCAACTACGAAAGTCATAAAACTTTTTTCTGTTATCTCCCCTCTCACTATTTTTTTATTATTTTTTTTTTGGTTTCTTTCCAAGCACTGCACGAAACGTGTTTGTTTCAATGACTGGCATGGCAACAACAACAATGGCAGTAGCAACAGCAACAGCAACGCAACATGTTGTTAACGCTGGGACATTGTTGCTGTAGTTGGTGTTGTTGCTGCCAGCGGCTTAAATGTTGCTCGACACTTAACGCACTAATTGCTCTGTGGAATTGTTTCTTTATTAACGCTTAATCGAATGTCAGCAACTTAGCGGCATTGCCGAGTCGAGTACGGCTTGAAATTGAAAACGTCTTTTAATTCTTCGTCTCCTTTTATTTTCTGCAATGTTTAATTGAAGCGGTTTACCTTGAAGTGTCGTTGTGTATCTGCAAGTTACTGCAACATGCCGGAAGTGCATGGCTTTTTGACTTTTTCGTTAATTAAGCATGCACAAGTCATAAAGTATTCTATATAGTAGAGCCGGGGACAGTCTGCACTACATAAAGCAGTATAGGGTTAGTTGCGGCCATTAGGCACTCATTAGCAACAGCTGACTGGAAACAGCTGTTGGCCGGCCCAGCCCAGCCTGGCTTTCACTTTTAAGGTCATTAGTTGGCTTTGCTTTGTCTAGTATGTCATAATTTGGGAACAGCGTTAGCGCTGACAGACATTAAAATATCGCCATAAACACACATACATACATCCACATCTATACATGTCGATTGGTATATTTTAAATCAGCGAACAGGTTTTGTTTTGAATGGAAAAATTGTGACAACTCAGTTAAATGAAAAAATACTACCAATGCACAGTGGGCGAAATTGTTAATCTGGAACTCGTTAATTTCCATCTTCGAAAAAGCATTAAATAGTTATTTTAAGGAAAATAAATTGTAGTACTTATCAGCGAATTCTAAGAGCCGAATATTTAAGAAATTAAGATTCAAATTGATTGCCAAAGAACGCAAAGATATTCTTTCTTATTTAACTAAAATAGTCTTGTGATATTAATTTATTTTTTTTACACTATCAGGTATAAGCACTATTTTTTGATTTGCAACTACCTTTTCCAATGATATACATATATATAGAAATATTTATACTCGGTGTTTCAATAATAAAAACTTAAACTACTTGAAGGGCACTGAAAAATATTTCCATTCAATCTAATTATTATTTAAATGTCCTTTCTGGTTATCTTACAGGCAGCACAGTAGCATCAGCTCAACAGCAGCGGCCGAACTTCCGGGTTGGTCCGGGTCATCCGCCATCGCAACGCCATTTGCCGCCAAGGACACGTGATCCTGTCCGGGAAGCAGCCGAGGCAATAAAGCGCAAAGAGGTGGAGGAGTATGAATCGAGTGCAGAATGTCCAGAGCCAAATGGTTTCTATCCAGACAGCAAACAATGCGACAAATACTACGCCTGTCTGTAAGTAACAAATAGATTGAAGCTATGTATTTGATTCTTGTTAGTGTGTGGTCTTTGAAGGCGACCGGATATCCTTTGAACTGCCGCTTAATGAACCACAGAGCAAATGCACACGAGTGACATATTATAGTCGTACGCAGGCCTCTGGGGGCCATCGTTTTGTAACCAGCGACGTGTATGAATGTGTTTCATCTTTCGCTCCATTGGCAACCAAGTGTTTGTAATCAATAATTTATATATTTATGGCCAAAGGCAGCACAAAGTGTCGAAAATATTGAAATATGTCTTTATTTTTAACCGCCGTATTAAACGTCTTTATGCAGCCAGTAGCATATTAATTGTTCATATTTATTTCCTTTGCATAATTACAGTGATGGCGTCCCCACAGAGCGTTTGTGTCCGGACGGCATGGTCTTCAACGACTACTCGCCCATCGAGGAGAAATGCGATTTGCCCTACAATATCGACTGCAGTCAGCGCTCCAAATTGCGTAAGTATGGGGCTTAATTAGGTCACAAGGAAATAGTTACATTACCAAAAATTTTACAAAAAATATAGGTAGATCTTTGAAACTTGCAAAGCAATTCAATGTTCAATGTCAATCTGAGAAGAAGATATTTATTCTAACTGCATACTGACATGTGCCAGCACAGATCTTGTAAATTTCTCTAATACATATCAATTACAAATTGTCCATAATTATTACATTAGGCATTTATTATTGTTAGAGCGGTTTAGCTACTTGTAGAGTTCCTGGAATGAGTATATTGATATTTCATTTAAATCTAGCTAGCATTATGTACTAAAATATAATTTTCTGCCACAACAACCTTTACAATTTACTTTACAAAACCCATTTATCAACTAAAACAAATTTATAGACACATTACAAATAGTGTACCCGTATAACTGTCACTTAAGTCGCTTTAGTCGCCCATTCCAATAATATATAATTTGTGAGCCCATAATTTCAGACAGCGTTTATGAAAAATACATTCTATTTTTTCATCATATTTCACAAACAATTTAAAGTCTAGCTAGCTGCAGATATATTTTTTTATTTATTCTAATTTTTGTATTTTTTATTATCTACTTTTTTGTATAATATTTTCTTTATCTTAAAAAATGTGCCTATTTACAATGCTAGTTTTATAAAATATTGAAAGCGTTGTCTCCATTTCAAAGCTGATTTCATATTTAAATTACAGATTTTTCTATTCCCAACGCACTCAGATGTAAATGTTTTAAAGAAATTTTTTGTAAATCTCTTTTACGCATGCAGGCCATGGCGTGGAATGTAAAAATGTCCCACACTCTGCAATATTTTTCAAACCTAAGCCGAAAATCAGCCCATAAACGTGTTTTTGCTGCCCCCACTTATTTGCTCGTTACTCCTTCTTCTTCTCTTTATTATTATATTTTTTTGAAGCTTATTTATTATGCAAACGGCATGCGATGCGGTTAACCTAAATTATTGTGTTCAATGGTTCTTTGGCTTTGGCTCTTCTTTGTTGTTGTTATTTTTTTGTCTTTTGGTTTTATTTCCTTTATTATTTGGTCTGTACGCTCCTTCAGTGAGCGACCAACTTGGCTGGAGTTTGAGTCAGATGTGGTCTTTAAGGTGCGTATTCCCCTAAGAAGCGGTCACAATCAATGATTTCTGTCAGTTCGTTTTATATTCCCTGCACATTTCAATTTGTTTCATTAGCAGCGACTGTTTGACAATTTAAATAAATTATGTTCACCCATCAGGGCAATTAGTTCACATTCGTTATAGTAGGCATAAGGAAGCCCATAAGTAACTTAAATTAACTTGCCAACTGAAGAGCATATGCCTGAATATTAAAGGAAACATACATATTTGCTTAAATGTCAAAAATAGCGCCTTTTTGCCAATTTAAAAGAGGTGTGTGAACGGGTAAGAAACACAGCAAATTTGCTGAAGAGATTACCAGTTCTTCCAAATGCTTGTTTCACAAAGATTCACAATATTCTTAAAATTTTTAAAACCGTAGAAAAGAGCGCATCCTTTTAAGATGAAGAATGGAAATACATTACGTTTTCTTAAGTTTGTAATGAAAGCAAAATGCCAATTTAGTTGAAAAACAGGTATTTGTTTAATTCAATCCAATTTTTACTAGACAGCATGTATTTAACTCCGTTGCTAGTCCTAAATTATGTAGAATTTAAACAAACACAAGTTGAATGAATACGTAAATTTAACTCAAATGTACCCCTATTTAAGAGTCTAGTTGCGCCATTTGTTTTTGATCGTGAAATCGTTAATTTCATGAAAGTGACAAAACTGATTTCGGAGCAAGTGCTCGATTGTGACGGCATTTCATGTCATGCGCATAGTTCCAGTGAAGAATATAATGCATTTAAGTCTGTGCCAAGCATCAACAACAACAATAATAATAGCAACAACTGCCGTCTGCCGGCTTCATCAGACAGGAAGTGGAAGTGCGCTGAAGTATGCTCGGACAACTCGAATAACAGAATATGTTGCTCGAAAAGCTATGAACATGGACGATTTAAAGACGTTGTTGCTATTGTTACCGTTGGCAAGCAAACGAAAGTAATAAACACTCTGGTGAGACACATAAACAAAATAGGAAGGGAACGGGAATGCAAGTTTATAAAGACAAATAATGTGAATGTACTGAGCACGGAGACAAGCTGGAATGGGAGATTAGAGAAAGGAAAACAACTGAAGTGCATATGCTTTGAAAATAAAGAAACTATATATAGTCATTTACTTTTGTTTGTTTTTCTATATAAGCTCCTATAAACAACTATTTGGAGTGGAGAATTGATGCCCAAATGGGGGGAATAATTAGCGTTTAAACATTTTACATTATATTCAATTGTTTTCAAACCTACTTAGTTATTAAAAAGTAATTTCTTTATATTCTCCATACAAAAAAAAATATAGTAAACAATTCGTTAAGGACTGCAAAAATAATTTATCAATATGCAATATGCAACTAACAACATTCTTAAATCAACTAAAATTTATTCATAACATTCATTTATTTATAACAACATTCTTAAATCATCCTTCCAGAAACCCCGCAGCCCTCGCAGCACTGTCCCCGCAAGAACGGTTACTTCGGTCACGAGAAGCCGGGCATATGCGACAAGTTCTATTACTGCGTGGATGGTCAGTTCAATATGATCACCTGTCCGGTTGGGCTGGTGTTCAATCCCAAGACTGGCATTTGCACCTGGCCCGACGAGGTGGGCGTTACCGGCTGCAAATCGGAGGACATATTCGAGTTCTCTTGCCCCAAAGTGAATGAGACTGTGGCTGTCACACATCCGCGCTATGCCGATCCTGACGACTGCCAATTCTTCTATGTGTGCGTAAATGGCGAGATACCCAGACGTAATGGCTGCAAGCTGGGTCAGGTGTTCGATGAGCAGAAGGAGACCTGCGATTGGGCGCGAAAAGTGCCGGACTGGTAAGCCACACAGAACAGATATTCATAGGTGTATGTATAATGTTGGTTTTGAATTGCCTTGCAGCGCTGACTGGTATAAGGATCGCTTAACAGACGCTGAGCTCGACGAGCTGGAGAATCCGAAGCCAAAGTCCACGACCACAAAGAGACCACCACGTGTTCGTGGCTCCTCGAGGCGCAAGCCCAAGCCAAAGGTTGTTAAGGAGGAGGACGAGGAAGCTGTGGAGGAGTAGAGCTTAACTCTAAGCATGTCATAAATATCATTGCAGGCAAATAAAAGTTGTTCCTGATTCACAACCATCAGTATTTGGTTTAAACGTCTTATTTCTGCAGCATACGAGTATTCTAAATATTCTGAGTGAGTGAGTTTTATTAAATTTATGATTTGCAGCTAAGTTGAATGCATAAATGATGACTCAACAAATCGTACGTAATTTGATAGAGTTTGGCTTAATTAAATTGAAATGAGTCAGTCAAATCAGTGCCAACCATATCCTTTCCTTGCTCGTAAAACTGTTGAACTACACAAGTGGGTGAGCATTTAGATGTGGACGTGGATGGCTCGGATGTGATTGAAAGCGCAGCACAAAATCTTGTTTGCATTACGTCAATTGCAAAAACACGACTAAATGCAATGATTGTGTATTTTCTAGAAATTCAACGTAACGAGAGGCAAGATAAATGATACTCAATACTCAGTTCAAGGTTTCGATTGATTCGCCTGATTGGTGACATACTCGCTGTTTTCGATTTTGTTTATTCGAAGCTGATTCAAATATCAGCTAAAGACAATTGAAACATTAAAATTTTTTCGACTTTCGCAGTTGATTATGTTTCGTTTATAAGTACTTGTATGCGATTATTCGTGTAATGTCATCTATTGTTGTTGTGCAAGAGCATTAGTTAAATATTTCAAATTAGATATTGTATTATTATTATATTAATAGTCTGCGGGATCTCTCTGTTGTATTAGTTAAATATTTCAAATTAGATATTGTATTATTATTATAATAATAGTCGGCGGGATCTGTTAAGATTCTAAAGTTACAATATGGTTTACAAAAACAAAAGTTGAAGACACCTAAAGCTAGATCTTTGGTATATTTTTTGGGTTTTTCTTATCTAACAGGGACTGCATTTTGACTCTTTAGTTGTTTATAATATATCTCTATTTATAAAAAAGTACCTAAATGTTTACAATTTACAGCAATTTTATATATAGTACTAGTTATATACTTTGTTAGGTATCACAATGGGCCAATTTAAGGTCCAAGTGGATCTTTCACCCTGGTTACCGCATCTACCTATTTATATATTCTTATTTCTCCAATTTCATTCTTCTTTTCTTTCGTTCTTACTTCTCTTGTTATTATGTTAATCACATGCTTCGGTGTTCTGTTAAATTGAAACTCTAAGACAACCCTCATATGTTATATATTTATGGCTTTTTTGTAATAAATGTACTTAAATTATATTCTCGATTTAAAAGTGAGCAGCTTGAATGTGCAGAAAAGTTGACGGGCTGCCAAGGCGCCACATTCCAGACTCCAGACCCCAAACTGCAGACTCAAACCCTTAACTAGTCGTATTGACAACAGAATCAATGCATAGCTTAAAACTGTCTGTCCGTCTGGCTGGATGGCACTGCGTTGTGCTGCCATCGCATGCAGCGCATAAATTCAATTTACCAAGTAGCATGCACAAAAGTATGCTACAAAACAGCGCACACAGGCAGACACAAACAACGGCAAATCGGACATGTGTATGACGTTTGCTAGAGGAGGCAGACAGAGAAAGAGAGAGAGAAAGAGAGAGCGATACATACACACACACGTGGCGTGCCGTATGCGATAAAACGCATTGGAATTGCATTGAAAATCGGAGCACAAAACGGCAGTTGAAAGGCGAGATTTACAGCTGCCAAGAAGTAGAAACAGAAAAAGGACCAGAAGCAGCAAGGAAGTGATGGAAGTGTGCGCAGGAAAGGAAAATGGGGGGATTACATGAAAATATCAGCACCGTAAGTTGCGCTCTTTAAGCAGCAAGTAAAATCTCAGCAGCAACAAGACAGTTACTTGGCATTGTGCGAACATTTGTTTATTTCCCGCTTTGGTTAACTCGAGCAATAGTATTGAAGAAGAACCAGAGAGAGAGAGAGTGAGAGAGTGAGAGACAGACAAAGGGGAAAGCAGACAATAAATAGTCGTTATAAACGAAATAAGTAGCAACAAATTGGCAATAAGGTAGAAAGGCGCGAGGGGCCAGCTTAGTTTGCTTGGACAACTGTGGATGTCATCAGCTTGCCAGAAAGATGCATAAGCGAAAATAAGAAACTAGCCCTTTGAGATTTTGAATTGCTCGATGTGGTTTGTTAGCTCCATATTGTAGAGGCACTATATAAATGTACAATTTATTATAGAGTATACAATATTTATTATAAAGCAAGAGCACGCTTGTGGTACGCCTTTCAATACTGAACTGAAAGAATAAGAAAGTAATATACATAGGTATATTATGTTTGATTTTTAAGTATCCATTTCATCAGTAATCCTTTTTAAATTTCTTTCCATTTTAACAGATTTATTTGTCGACCCAATTGAAATATCTTTTCAACAGCAGTGCCTACAGTATTAAATAACTCTAGCTGCCCATATTTGCGCATAATATCTAACCTAAGTCTCGCCCGTGGTGTGCAGGAAACAAGCCACAGCTCAGCCTAAGCCAATGCCAACTCATGACACGGTTATGGGCATCCACAGCAGCGGCTGCTGGTCTCTAATTAATCAAGCAGCCAAGCGACCACCTCGAGTGTTCAAACGCCGTCAAAGGCATCCTGCTGTCAATAATTTTGCACGTCCAGTGACTAGCTGGTGCTTCGTAATCTCGACACTAACGTGTCAGCTCGACTATGAGCCCAACAGCAGACGCAGACAATCTAAATACCATTTCGACGACTCTCACCGCCTACTTAATCAAGTGGAGAAGCAGGAGCAGCAGAACGAACGAGCTGGGAACTAGCAGGGGGGTTGAAAGCAAATGTCAATTCACCACCCAACCCATACAGACACCTGCCGTCTGACACATTGAGTCGCGTCCTTTGACGGCCCCCTTCGCCCCATCTCCTTTGATTTGAGGTGGCCGTTTAGCTGACCAGCATATCAAATGCCAAATTTGACATAAACAAGTGTTTACATAATGACAACAACAATTTGTGTAATTGTCAGCGACCAGTGAGTCTATTTGTAGTTGTTTCTCCTGTTGTTTGATGCTCGCCTTATCCTTCGCTCAGTTCCCCGTATAGGGTTGAAACTTGATTGTCCACAGCATGGCATGTTCTGTGCTCCCTTGGCGCCTTTTTTTTTGGTTTATCTTGATTGTCACATTGCATAATTAGTTGGGGGAAGTGGGAGGGTATTAATTGATGTAGCTGTGTGTTTAAGTTTTTCTGCATCCCCTTGAGGCTATCTACAATTACAGTTCCTTAAGTTTCAATTTCATCTGCTTATTTAAAGAATTAATTTGGCATACGCTTGGCATTGAAAGGCTGTTTTATTTAAGCTGGCTGGAAAATCCAAATATATACTAAGCAGCATATTCAATACCCTATATTCGAAGGTTAAATAAATAGATGGAAATACGGATCTCTAGATCTTATCTATCTCATCTCTCTGTATGTAAAGTAATGAGAATTTGCTACAAAAAGATGATTGTAAAAGAAAATTCCCTTCTTATATTAAATAGTTTTACTTATGATTAAAGTAACATGATAAAGTTTTAAAATGTGATCAATTTCAGAAGGTTGGTTTAACACAGCTTAAGATTGCACTCTTAAGAGTTTTTTTTTTTTTTGTTACTCTTGTAATATTTTCGTTGCGAAAACCTTAAAATAAATCAATTAGCTAAAAGTTCTAGTAGTATAACGACCTTTTCCAATTTCAAAAGTCAACCAGAATGAAGAAATTCTTTAAATTAAATAAATTCTAATATAAGTACAAGTATGTACTTTAAGGAATTATCTTTCATTGTCTAACTTTCAAAAACGTTTTATTTTTTCGAACATTTTATTCAGCCATTGAACCCTTTTGCTCAGCCCCAGAACCTTCATTAAGCGACGCCAGCATGCGCACCATATTTGGCTCAAATGTTGCCTGCATTGTTGGCCAAAAGAAAAAAACAATGGGGCAAAGGAAGAAAGTGTCCTGCACGTTATTGCCACCCAGCTCGCCTTATGGTGGGCTAAAGTTGATTGTTTGCGCTTTGGGTTATTTGCTTTCTTGATGAAATAATTAAATGTCATTCATTGAGGTCGTTTGCCACTTTTTTCCTTCTATTCCCTCGTTTCGGCTCGGGCTTCTAGGGCTTCATCCTGGCGTAATTGTTGACCACTTTCGCATATCCTTCTGTGCTTCCGCCCGTTTCGGTGGCTAATTTGTGCAGACAACGACAAGGATGTTGTCGTCTATGCCTAGAGGACCTGCGGGCTATCGAATGCGCAACTCAGTTTCCATCACCACCACCGTCTTGTTGTTGTTGTTGTTACTTGCTGCCTTCCTTTTCTTCTTCTTTTGCTGCGCCCACATCTTGTGCAAGTTCATTAAACTTGTGGCCATTGGTTGTGTCAGTGTTAGAGAGCGACTCCACTATTTGCTAATTAAGTGTTGCATAGTTTTGTGTTTGTGTCGCGGTCTAATGAACTAAACGTTGCCTATAACTGCTGTTGACGTCACTGGCACCTGACACTTGTCACACACACACACACACACACTCACATTTGTTCACTTAAACTTTGTCAGATGCCATTGCTTTGGAGCGTCCACATTTGCATATTTATAAGCGAAGTCGCAACCGCAGCCCAGACATGAATATAAGCTTGAGGAGCCATTTTGACAGTCAATTTGTTTGAAAAGTTTTACGCGCCTTGGTCGCCATTTAATTTAATGCAAACTTGCAGCTCCCCCCTCCCTTCCAGAAAAGAGTAAAGTTGCGTCTGCCAAATCTAGAAATTGCAGCAGTCTGTCGCGTCGTTGAAGTTTTTGGTCAAAAGTTCATGAGGGCTTGCCCAAAAAGTTGTCATGGATTTAAATATAGCTGCATAAGTTTTCAAAATTAATTTTGGCACATAAGCGAAAATCTTCACCAGGGCTGCAAGCCACTCAAGGCGACGGATTCTGTTAATTCTTTGATGCCACAAGCTAAGGTAAGTTTCATACTTAAATATATTAACTGTTTCTTTTACTATAGTTGCATTAATGTATTATTATTATAATATAATTCCTATTTCTTAAACAATATTTAAGCAGTCCCTGGTCAGGTATTTTTTATTTGCTTTTAGTTTCTATTTGTTAGTTCCTAACCCAAAACTGTCAAAAAGTTATGAATTTGCGCACACACCGACACAGCATTCAAAGGCAAGGCATAGGCAGGCAGTTTGCAATTAAAGCCCAAGTTATTGTAACTGGCCGGGCAGTGAACGCACCAGAAAGTACTGGCAGATAAATCACATGAATTTATTATGATGATGGCATAAATCATATAGGAGGCTCCAACTATACGTACACTCAGAAAAAAGAACAAAGGTCGTCCTTTAAAATAAAATTAAAGTGACGTCATAGACTTAAGATAAAATGTACTGTTTCGAATGTTTTTTTTCTACAAGTAAGTTCTCTTGTAAAATAAATTTGTACGTGTTTTCTTAAGCCAATGACCTTGAAAAAATGATCTCCCTAATGAAGGTATAAAAATTAATTTCCAATTTATAAAACACATATTTTGTGAATGTATGCTAAGAGATAAAGGATAACTAAATTAAATTTAGGCACTCATATTTCTAGTTGGAAATAGATGTTTCAAATATAATATAGAATAAGTCGTGCGATTCTCCAGGAGAAACTTATAGTTAGTATAACGATAAGCAAGCAACATAGAAGAAAAACATTTATGTATATTAATAATCGCGGCATTTTAAAACATTTTCTTTGGTTTCAGTTTATAAACCCATTTACGTTCACTGGCATGCCACAAAACAATTTGGGAATAAATGTAGCAAACGATACTAAAATTATTGTGCAAATAACAATAGAAAACCGCTTCGCAAAAGTTCAACGACGGAAAGATTCAACGGAAAGATATAACGCCCATAACATCCAGCTAAAAACAAAAACATTTGGGTCCAGCGCCGTACGTTTTTATTTGGTGTTATAAATCACAGAGCATCGTTTTTTAAAAATGTGGAATTAGGATCTGACATTAAGAAAAATAGCTTCTAATAATTTGTCAATCCACATTTATAAAATTTGTGGCGTTCATATCTTTTCTGAGTGTACTCTGGGTGTACATATACATATGTATATATAAAAGAGTGGACCTTGTTTTTTCGATAAACCCCACCCCGTCCCCTGGGGCAATGCAGATGCATTGTTTTGGTTGATGCACCGAAAAATGTGCAATGGCCGGCAGACGTTGTCAACGAGGCCTGTCAACAGAGCAGTCGGGCAAAAATCCACACACTCACACATATGTATAATGTACTATATATGTACGTATGTATATGTGCCCTTTAGTAGTTGACCAACTGAACGAGCTTCGGTTAGTGCTCAAAAATTAGTAAACATTCTTGTTGTTTGGCAGTTTTTATGTTGGTCGCTGCAGAATATGCCGAAAATGATTTTGTTTTTCTGTGAAGAATGGCGTCGGCGCTGGCGTTCGGTTTTTGCAATTTGGTTTTGTGCCTTGTTGTTGTGGTTGTTTCTATCGTTTTTCATTGCCTGCTGCCATGTTCATAATTTGCATGTTAATATCGCCCTTGAGTCTCAGCTCAGCAATGAAATTAACGGCTGGGCTGTCTGTGTGAGTCGATCAGTCCAGCGCGCTTCACCGCTCTCACACACTCTCGATAGCTCGCTATGTGTGTTTGCGGCTTTCTGTTTGTTGTGGTCGCGGCTGGAAAAGTTTTTCAAACAACAACAAACACAAAATGTCATGCAATTAGCACTTCATACATACATACATATGTACATATGAGTTGTGGGCGTGCCTCTGCCTCGCCTCTGTCGCTGTGAATTATGTTTGCATTTTGCTGCACAAATAGTACATATGTGTGAGTATTTGCTAAACGTATTGCATTTTGTATTTTGGCGGCTAATGATCAAATAGCATTTTGTGCGCTACAATTTAATAAATGAATGGATGCTGATTGTGTGCTTTGTAAGTGGAACCTGCCATTTACATAGTTACATTGAATTGTTTTAATTATCCGTAAATACTATTTTAGTTTAAATATAAACTAAATAAAGCGTCAGACTCCGAACAGTTGTTTAAGTGTGCGGCATGTCGCAACTAGAAAGAGAGTTACTTACTTAATTTTTAATACATATATCAATTATTTGGAAAACAGTTAAAGTATAGTATTTATTTTTCTCCCATAAATCTCTAGCTAAATTGAAAAACTCTATAAATAATGTTTGCACAAATGGCAAACTTGGCATTTCCCAAAAAAACAAAATATACACACACAGAAGGTCTAACCAAAAAGCGCAAAACAATTTGCAAACAAAATATAATTTCGGAAGCACGCGTTTGGGAGTATTTAAAATATTTATGCGGTCAGTGACTGTGTCCCCAAGTTGTTGTCGCATTTCAGCGACCACAATCGTCGGGCACCTAGAGACCGGCTATAAATCAATGAGACTGCTGGTGCGTGAAGAAAAATGTATACTTTATTTATTTCTATGCTGAATGCATAAACAACAAACTGTTCTCATGCAAATTATGTTTATGTATTTTGAATTCGCTTTTAAAAGTGTGAATTGCTCCCACATTTTAGAAATTTTACCAAACTCGTTTTTTTTATAAAGAATCATGTTTAGAAATAAAACGTTAAAAGAACGGCTGCTTTCTAGCGATAACCACGCAGAGTTTCGATGTCTCAAGTATCGGTCTTCTGCAGCGCCAGTGGCATATCGGCATATCGATACTCATCACTCTCAGAAACGTAATTATCGCTCATCTTTACAAACAATAGGTAGCTGCACAAAAAAAAAATAGTGAAATGAGCGGCAGTTTTGTTCCAATAAATGTACCGGAGTGGGACGTAGACAAAACGAAATTATTCCTGACTCTGTACAATAGCAGGAAACACGAGTTTCGAGACCCATGTATAAAGAAAAGGGACTTGTGGCAGGAAATAATCAGCGTGATGGAGAAGGAGTGTGACATGCATGGCTTGGACCCTATCAAGGCGGACAGAAAGTTTCGCAATTTAAAGCAAAAATACGATAATTTAATGGATCATGCCAAGAAATACGGTACCACCAAAACATCCTGGACCTACTTTAGAGAGATGCAACAAATTTATTGCGACTCACCGTCGGTAGCTCCATACCACTCTGTATCTTCGTATCCCAGTTTCGAGGAAAACGATCCGAAGCAAGAAACAAACATGCAGGGACTAAATGTAGAATGTATAATTAAAGAGGAGCAGTCGCGAAGCAGTTTCTGTTCGGACAGTGCTTCGTCATCAATACTTTCCGTGGGCAACAATATTTCAGCATTACCGCCTGAGAAAAAACGCAAGATGGAAGAGCACAGGCAACCCTCTATGCAGGAAGAAGAAAATTTGGATCCAGACGAGCGTCGGTTAGAGGTCCTTAGTGGGATTCGAGATGCGCTCGAGAGGGCTAATGATATACAGGCCGAAAGGAATGAACTTTTAAAAGAGTATATTGCGATTCAATCCAGAAATAACTAAAATATACATATTTTCTATACGATTTAATATTAGGAACACGTGTAAGTAAAATAAATTAAGTTCTTTAAACGTAAATGCCATTGATTTTAAACCGACTGATTCAATCGATTTTTGATAAAGTTTCGTTGCTCGTAGGCATCCTCTGCGCATATTTGATTGTCAACAAAGTTATTGGGCGGCATAAAAATTTTGGATACCGCCTCTTCATCGATGTCATCTTCTTCAGCCGTATCCTCGTTGATTTGTATGAAGTTGTGAAGCATGCAGCAGGCGCTTATTATATAGTTTGCTGCTTTCGGCGTTTTAACATCCAAATATTGCAATCTGCGGAATCGGCTTACAAGCAGCCCGAGCGCCCGGACAATAATCGAATGCAACACATTCAATCTTTTATTGTATATCTCATGCGCGGCCTTGAATTGGGTAACATCTTTTTTCGCATACGGAGTTAACAGATTCGTGCTTAATGGGTATGCCACATCTCCAACTAAACGTCTATCCTTTTTCATGCACAATGGGCTGTTTCTGAAGACTGTTGCATCATTTATACTCCCAGGCATTCCAATGAAAACGTCCATAAATTTCCCTGCGCTGTCACAAACCCCCTGTAGTATTACAGAATGATAGTTCATGACATTGTAGTAATCAAAAGAATTTTCTAGGGGCCTCCTTATGGGTATGTGACAGCAATCGATGACGCCAGTCACGCCAACGATTCCACGGGATTTAAATTCAAATATATCTGCGGTCAGTGCTTGTTCTTCCTCTGTCTGCCACTTCACGTATTTCGGCATAAGTTTAGATAGAATTTGAATACATTGCTCAAAAACGAATTGTCCCCATTTTTTCTCAATGCTAAAGCGATTTGCAACAACTTCAAGCGACTCTTGATTGCCTAAAATCCAGAGAGTAAATAAAAGTTGTGATTCCAAGTCTATGTCCTTGGTCTGTTCTCTCTCAAGTGCCACTTCTTTGAGTAGTATCTAAAAATATGCTTATTACAAGTATATAAAATTTACTAATAGTATATAAGATATTTTATGTACCTGAAATGTAGTTCTATTCATTCTAAAGTGCTGCTTAAAATCGCTTAACATGTACTCCTTAAGCATAATTTGCACATGGCCTAGGGACGCTTGCGTTCTCTTGCTAGACTTTGTTTTGTATTTGAGCTCGTCAGTGATCGCATTTATAAAGTTCAGGTCTAGCACATCGCCAAAGAACTCGTTCATTAAAATCTGATTTATTCCAAAAGCCATTTTTCTGCAATTTCAAATAAATTCGTTTATTTTGTAAACAAAATACTGCGAATTCAAACTCAAACCTTTTGTTTTTTTAGGTATACATGCTCGTGTAATATTAATTTATGTCTGTACAAATACTCAATTTTGGAGACACACACATTTGCACAGCTAAAACAATCAGCTGATGGAATCAAGAATGATTGCAGAACGATTCCGATTAGTACAGGAACGATCGCTTGCTATCGATTTTAAAATTAATCGATAAAGCTGGCAAAAGAGTGCTGTAAAAAGACCGACTTACAAAAATTTGTGTTATTAAAAATTTTTTAAATTTATGAAACACGTAAGTGCTATGCATGTACGCATGAATGTATGTGGAGCTCTGGTCCTATAGAAAAGATTTCGTAAGAAATTGCTGCTGGCAGAATATTAGCTTCCTTTGGAGTTGCCATATCGGTTTGTAGATTTTTAGATTTCTTTTCAACAAATTATTTAACGTATTATTACATTAAAACTATGCAAACGCTTTTCTTTAACATTAATAGATATATCTCCTTATTTATGTAGGTATGTACATATATGTTTTGTATTTACTTGTTTACTTTTACAAGCTTAGAAATATTTTGTCAAATGCTAAGCAATACATTACATATTTGCGATTATTATTTATTTTTGATTTTATTATTTTATTTAATTAGTTTAATCTTAAAAAAAAATAAAAATAAAATTTTGATTGGTAGTACTGTAGTTGTAGTGCTGCGTTTAAGAATTAGGAATTGAGCCTGTTCGAATCTAGTTTTCTTGTCTAGACTACTATTTAAATGTCTGCAACTGATTTATTTATTATTTAATAATTAATGTTTTAATTAATTGTTTACTTTTGCTGGAAAGGCCAGACCGGTCAGCTTTTTCTGTTTTTTTTTTTCTATTAATTTCCACGCGTTTCATGTATTCATGCACCAGGCGAGCATAAGTGAACAGCGAGTAAACAAGCCGGCTGGAATTTAAATTGGGAATGTAAACAAAACCAAAAGTAAACAAACTGAAGTTGTAAACAAAAACGATATTTGCGGTGCTTCGCGAGATGTAAACAAATTGGGGCTCTCCTATTGGCTGCGCTTCAAATGTAAACAAACGCGATCCTTGCGGTGCATTGCGAAAAGTAAACAAAAATCAGCTGCTCCGCCGCAAAAAAAAAGCAATGCAGCTGCCTACTGCCCATTTATGTTCGCCTGGTAGATAGAGTTGGTTTATGCGTCGTTTAAAGGCCAACTTGGTCGGGTGGAATTTAATTTGTTCGGTTTTGGATATGAATGAGCTCCATTTCGTTTATTAATACACCAGGCCAGCATAAGTGCCCAGCAAGTAAACAAGCCGGCTGGAATTTAAATTGGGAATGTAAACAAAACCAAGAGTAAACAAACTGAAGTTGGATGCACTTCAAATGCAAGTAATACGGTGCATTGCGAAAAGTAAACAAATTGGGGCTCTCTTATTGGCTGCACTTCAAATGTAAGCAAACGCGATCCTTGCGGTGCATTGCGAAAAGTAAACAAAACTCAGCTGTTTCACTTTAAATAACCAAGCAATGCAGCTGCCTACTGCCCATTTATGTTCGCCTGGTAGATAGAGTTGGTTTATGCGTCGCTTAAAGGCCAACTTGGTCGGGTGGAATTTAATTTGTTCGGTTTTGGATATGAATGAGCTCCATTTCGTTTATTAATACACCAGGCCAGCATAAGTGCCCAGCAAGTAAACAAGCCGGCTGGAATTAAAATTGGGAATGTAAACAAAACCAAAAGTAAACAAACTGAAGTTGTAAACAAAAACGATATTTGCGGTGCTTTGCGAGATGTAAACAAATTGGGGCTCTCCTATTGGCTGCGCTTCAAATGTAAATAAACGCGATCCTTGCGGTGCATTGCGAAAAGTAAACAAAAATCAGCTGCTCTGCCGTAAATAAACCAGCAATGCAGCTGCCTACTGCCCATTTATGTTCGCCTGGTAGATGATGCAGATAAGTGTCGTTGAAAGGCAACTTCGATTTTGCCTTGTTTTTTTTTAACACGCTTTTATTTTTTCTAGTTTTGGAACTGGAACTAGCAAACTTCTTCGCACAAGAAGCGCGAAGGAGTGCACCCAATAAATGCAATTCGTGCTTATATGGCACATTCCTTCAATCGATCATGCATAGTTTCCATATCCATTATAATAAAAATATTGTATTATTTCCTTCCGAAATCATTGTTATTTAAGGAACAACAACTACTCTTTACAACTTTTGTTTGCTTATACAAAACGTATTTATTCGAAACGCTAAAATGAATTTAAGCTTTAACATAATAATAATACTAACATATTTTAAATCTTTGCACTTTAAGTGTTGCGATATTTGTTTACTAAATTAATTGTATTTTTCGTGTTTTATGGGTATGAGTTTATTTTGGTATACTATGTACTATGTATATAATATACAAAGTATATGTACATAAAACCTGAGTAATATGATTTCATTTTACAATTTAGAACTTAACTTATAGCATGTGGCATATTTCTGGTGTTTTTGGTTTATAAATTTGTATTATTTGGTTAACATTATCAAACTTGTAAAGTTTTTAAAGTTTGCCAACAGTTTGTAGTTCATTGTTTATAATTATTATCTTATATTATATGTTATTACTTTTACTAAGTTCATATAAATGTAAATATTTAAGTTATTAAGAAAACTTTTTAAATAATTTACCACATTTCTAAAATTTGTTTACATGTTTTATATTTAATTGTAAATAACTAAACTTGCAAAGTGAAAAATTTAACAAATAGAAGTATGCTTAAACTAAATTGTTGATTGACAAGACATAGCCATGTCCGTTTGTCCGACTGTCCTGATGAACGGCTGGAATTCGGCAACGGCAAAGCCCGCATTGACCAAACTTGGTAAGTAGACTCTATTAATACCGATGCAACACGAGTCCGTCTGTCCGGATGATCGCCAGGATTTCGGCTAAAAGGAATAAAAACTGTAAGTGAAAATTGGAAAAGCCTTTAAGTTTTCTAAATCATTTATTGTTATGTCATGTGCGCAGCTAAGGTGGAAAAACCTGCAAAACAGTGAAAATTAAAAATTGATTTCAAGTCAATATTGAAAGTTTTGGGTATGTCAGCGGGGTCGTAGGAGCGACAGATCCAAATAGAGTTATTGGCCATAAACGAGACACATTCGAATAAAACACATAGGCAGCATAATTTCCTATGTACAGCTGGTCGACTCTTATCTGCGAGTCATAAGCCAGATTAGCGACTAAAGTTTCGCGTCGGCAGCAAAGTTGGCAACTGCATTAAAATTCCAGCTACAAATTTAGCTACACTCAGAATATTCTACTATATAGCTTAATGGTATGGATGGACTTGGAAATAAAATTGGTTTCAATCTATGCCATTAATATATGTAAACCCAAATTAATTAAAAATATATATATGTATATGTTTTTAAAAAAGCTTGGCTTTCATATAAATTTGAATTTTTATAGAAAATACTATAGATTACATAGCTTTCAAAGTAAACATACTTCAGCGACAAAACAAATAATAAACAGCTTTACCAACTAAAAAAATAACTTAGCGCTTAGTTAATTCATAAAATATAAATGTTTTTAGGCTGGACAGAATAATAGGTTTGTCAAACCAAATTTGTAAAAAATATATATTTTTTTAAAATATGCTCACACCTATTATTCTGTCCAGGGATGTAGAGTATGTACACCATAAAAAAGAAGAACTATACAGATTAAATCATGTTATTAAGGAAATCTTGGAAATGTTCGAGAAATGAATTGAGTTAAAGATTTTTAGCATCAAGCGCAAGTCTATTTATAAGCTAAAATCAAATTTAAAAGATAACTCAAATTGAACAAGTAAACAGCCCCTTTATCTTCGACTACAATTTCGTTCTCATAGAATTGCAATCGTGCTGCTGAAGCATTTGCTCCAAACACTCCAATGGGAACCATAGATTGCCTAAATATTGATGGACAGACATTGTTTTGAGTGTACGCTTGATGCGCTGTTGCATTTCTAGAGGCGTCTAAGAGCGGAAAAAGTGCAGCACGCACAAAACACAAACAGCATCATACTTGTAGTCTGGCCAATTATGCATGCTGTGCTGAGCTGAGCTGATTGTTTTGCATGTCAACGTCAATGGCAACCAGAGTTGATTGCCTCCGCTCTGCTCAGTTCCGTTCTGCCACGCCCACAACAGCCCACAACAGTCATGCAGCTGGCCTGACAGGCTCTTGCTTATTTGTTTAAATGAAATGTCGTTGACATGTCAAGTGCGCCGGCAACGGCACTTCTGAGGCGCCTAAAAGGTAACAAAACGTACTTTAAGCCACTTGAGCTTCGTTGTGGTTGTTGTTGCTGTTGTTGCTGTTGTTTTTGTAGCACCCGATCATGCATCAGGCAAATAGTATATGTTGTTAAACAATGGCAGAGACTGGCAGCAGCGAGCTGACAATTGTCGAGTGCCAAAAATCACTGCGTTTTTCGCCACGCCCCTCCCCACTTGTCCCGCAAATATTGACTGACTGTCATTATTTTGCATATTGATTGGCTGCAGCATGCCCGCATATCTTATAGATACAATTTTCACTCGCGTGCAAGCACAGGGGCGTAGCGCATTTAGGGGGTTTCGATTTTATTCACCATTAAGTTAATGGTTTCTTTTCATAGCTTCTTGTTTTTGTGATTTGAGAAAGCCTGGAAGGGTGTTTTTCCAATATATTGTCTACGACTGTAATGTGAAAATTTCTTCCTTTCTTTGTTTTTCTTTCAGGGAATAATACTGAATGTACATATTGGTAGTTTCAAATAATGGATGTATTTCATTTCCACTAATTTAATTAAATTGCAAAATTTCAGATTCACTAATTTCAGAAAAAAAAAACAAGCTTAATCTGCCTAGAGGTTAGGAGAACCTGGATATGAAGTTTGGTTATTCTTGCAGATGGACATTGCTTTATT